GCTCCCGGGCGGCGGCGGGGGGCGGCGGCGGGGACCCGGGCCGTGCCTTGCCCCTTCCCTCGGCGCTGGGCTCCAGCTCGGCCAAGGCCACGATGTCCACGGCGGGGTTGGGGCCCAGCTTTTTGGCCGATTCCACGTCGGCCTTCATCTCCTCCAGGTCTCTCTTGAGCTTGGCGCGGCGGTTCTGGAACCAGGTGATGACCTGGGCGTTGGTGAGCCCCAGCTGCTGGGCGATCTGGTCCCGGTCCGCCGGCGACAGGTATTTTTGGTAGAGGAACCGCTTCTCCAGCTCGTAGATCTGGTGGTTGGTGAAGGCCGTCCGCGACTTCCGACGCTTCTTCGGCGTTTGCCTCTGCCCGAAGATGGTCATTCCGTCCCGGCCTGCCGAGGAGCCGCCAGATTGTCCCCGCTTTCCCGTGTCCGCCCCGACCCTAGCCCCCGGACCCCACACCCCTGCCTTGTCGGTGTCTGCAGGGAGCGGGGCAGAGCCCTCGCTCCGGTACCCCGAGGACTGCGGGGGGAGGATGCCGCCGGGTACCGGCCGCTCAGGGACCCCCCATCCCACCCCATGCGACACCCTGGGAGATGGCGGGGGACGAGGAGAGAAGCAAAACCAGGCCGTGGGGAGGAGTGGGGCACCCACCCGCTGGAGGATCCCCCCCACTCTGCGAGGGGCTTACCTTCGGCCGCCTGCAGCACGCTGACTTCCAGCCCCTTGAAGGTCTTGCTGGCCAGCTCTTCCAGGGCGCAGAGGGGCGAGGTCTGRGAGAGCAGCGCCCGGCCGGAGAGGGGCAGCCCGGCCGGGGGGTGCTTCTCGGCGGCGGAGAGGAGGTGGGCCGTTCCGCAGAGGGTGTARCTCCTCCGCACAGAGGGCTTGTTGAGGATGTCCTCGATGCTGAAGGGGGTGAGGGGCTTGTTGGAGTTGGCCGGCGGTGGGAGGTGATCCAAGGGGCTCCGCCGCCGTTCTTCCCCCGAGGAGGGCTTGGGCTCTTCTTTGGAAGTCATGGTGGGGCCGGGCTGCACGGGGCTGCCTTCCCCACCCGCGACGGGGATGCGCTGCCGCGGGGAGAAGCCCCCGGCGGGACCGCGGGGTGACGGCGGCGAAGACAGCGAGCAAAAGTTGAAGCCCACCTCCAACTCCGGCGGAGGAGCCCCGGGTCCTCCCGGGGAGAGCCACGTCGGGCGGCGGGCCGGGCGGGCAGGGCGGCGGGAGGGCGCGGAGCGGAGCTGCCGTCGGTCCCTCGCCGAGAGGTGGTCCTGCCGTACCTCTTGTCCCAGGGTTTTGGGTCGGAGATTTCCCCCCCTCCTCTCTGTCTCCTGTCTCTCTCTCTCTCTCTCTCTCTCCCTGTCTCTCCTCTCTCTTTCTCTTTCTAGCTGCTATTTTAAGAAACACCCCAAATCACGGCACTTTCCCTGCCCCCCCACCCCAAGCGAATACCCACCCCAAAATAATTTAAAAAAATAATTTAAAAAATAAAAAAGAAAAAGCAGACTTCGGCGAGGGGAAGAGCAACCCTCGCACCGAGACCTCGGACCAGGGGGAAAGAAGCGAAAAGAGATGGGGTAATTGACTATTGCTAACAAGTTATTGTTGATTGGGAGGTAATCAATTATCTTCAATGACACTTTTCGCCCTCTCTCTCTCTCTCTCTCTTTCTCTCTCTCTCTCTCTCTGTCCAATGCAGGCTTTTGCAAGTTCGGAGACCCATTAATTAGGAGGCGGTATGGAGGTGGAGCCCAGTTGAATTATAATGCTGAATGCACTTGTCATATTCTGGCCCTGCTATTTGTTTGGACATATATATTTTTAAATTACATTACAAACCAGCCTTTATTGCATCAGGATAATACAGTATAGTGAAAAATAATAATAAGCGAAAACAAAACAAACCGAAAAATATCCAGCTGTATCTTTTTTTTTCTTCCCCCCGAGATTTTTTTGGTTTTCTTCTATTTCTCCCTSCTGCTTATTTCTGCTACCAGGTTATTCAAAATGTCTATCTCCGGCTTTACGCAGAGCCGTTTGATTTTTTTTTTTTTTTAGGAGGGGAAGAAGGGGAGAGCCTGGTTCCAGGTAAGGCAGACCTTTCCTTTCCAATAAAATCYGAAGGTTTCCGCCGAATTTGTCGTGCTCCTCTTTCCCAGCACCCTGTGTCGGAGCGGGCTGCGGGGGTCGGGGCGGGAACGGGAGCAGGGCCTCYCCGGTGTCGGGAGAACCCACGGAGGGATTGCGCGGCGGGGTGCGGGCCGGGAGCGCTCCGGGGATGTTGGCGGCTTCTTGGGCTCCGGTGGCGCCGGGTGGTCCCGGCCGGGGGCAGCGCGGGGGAAAGAGTCGGGGATGGCCGCTTTCCAACCCGAGTCCTTTTRCTGCGAGCCCACGGGCGGCTCTGGAGAGGGGCAGGGGCGGCGGTGGTTGCTGTGCCCCCCACGCTCGGGGAACACGGCCCGGCCCGGCTCTCCGCGGGGCCAGACCGGCTCCTGAGTATTTCAACSCGGATCGCCATCCCGCTCCTGTCTCTCCATTCCACAGGGAGGGAGACAAAGCCCAGAGCCGGGGTGAACAGCTTGGCCCCCACTGCGGGCGTGAGCACCCCACAGTCCCCGGGGAGACCCCGGCCGGGACACTGCCCGCGGGCCGGGCTGGGGCTGGACGGGACGGGCGGTGGCTGGAGGGGCGGTGGGGCAGGAAGGGTTCAAGGAAGGCTTGGATCCGGCCCCAACTTTTCCTCCTCACCTTGAGGGCCAGCAGGAGGACGGCTGGCAGCTCCCAGGCCGCTAGGTACCRAACAAGCACAAAAGAAGCAAATGGCTCCTCTCCTTAAAGCGCCCTCTTCCCATTTTTTATAGCTCTCTGGGAGTCTCTTTATGCWGTGACCTATTTTTAAAGGCCTATATTGGGTTATTCATCATATCAAATACTGCGAGGAGATGGGGGGGAGTCGGTCGGGGGGGAGCGAATTACACTGATTCTAAATCGCCCGGCTTCTTTGCTTTGCTAGGTGGATTATTTGCTTCGCTTTGCTTGGGTTTTATGAAGTGATTTAAACATATTTTAACCAATTAGAGACTTTCCTCCTCTCCCTTGTGTCCCCTCGCATTGTTTTCCAGCGTGGCGTTTTATGTCAGKATCCAGGTTTTATTGAGAACTCAGCCGGGGGTGCTGGCGTTATAATTACAGAAATAAGATTAAAAAAAAAAAAAAATAAAGGGGGGGAAAAAACGAAAGAAAAATAGCCTTGTTTCCTGCGTGCGAGTTTGGGCGGGCTGGCGGGGGTTTGGGATGTTCTGAGGCGCAGCCAGTTACCGGCTGCAGCGCTCCCCGCGGAGCGGAGTGCGGACCTGAGCGCAACTTGCGCCCCCATCTCGAGCACAGCCCGTTCCGCTCAGGGCACGGGCAAAAGTGCTTCGAACACGGCGAAACCCTACAAACCGTTTTGGGTCCCCTGTTGTCCTCCCAGCCTGCATCTCCCCTCTCCTCCTACGCGGGAGGACAGGGCTCTATAAGCATCCTACTTTTTGTTTTTTGGCTCCCTAATAGGGGCAGAGCCCGGAGGAGGACGGACAGCTGCCTCAGGACAGACTCCCCGACACAGAGGGACCCTTCCTCGTTTGCCTCGGCCGCTGCCTGGCAGGGGATAGCCGGGTTCATGTTCTGCATTAGTTGCTCAGCCCGGTGGCTCCAGGCCTGTCGCTGCCCTTGTGCCCAGCGTCCCTKCCCAGAGAACACCTCAATGAGAAAAACGGTGGTTGAGAGGGAAGGGGGCACATCCCGGGCCCCCTTCCCCAAGTCCCCCGGCTCTCGGTGGTTGTCCCGGTGGGCTCCGACTGACCCCTTTCCCCTGTGCTCTCGGCTGCCCGGTGGTGCCTTTGGCGAATTTGGATTCGTTTTTTCTGCGCTTACTTTGCCTTTGCAACTGCTGCATCTCCCTCCTCGCAAACGGCGCCTTCTCTGCGCACCGGGAGTGGGCTGGGCTGCCCCAACCCGGCTTAGGGGGAGAGCTCTGCATCCCCCCTCCTCATCCTTCGGAATTTATTTATTTTAATTTTCTTTTTTTTTTTTTTTGGCAGCCCGTTTGGCACCCAGCCCCGAATTAGGGACCCTCAGTGCCCCCCGACGTGTCCCATTGTATTTCACTGTCCTCGGAGGGCCCCGGGGAGCAAGGGAGCCCCAGGGACAGCCGGGGGCCTGCTCCAGCCACCGCCACGGAACTTCGCATCCCGCCGGGCTCTTGTGCCCRTCCCGCCGGGAGGCAGCTGCCAGTCGTGTGTCCCAGCTTTGAGGTCGTTTGGGGAAAAACACCCTCATCCGATGCGTTTCAACGTCTCCATTCTGTTTTCTACAACCCCTCTGAGTGGGACGTGGAATTGAACTACTCCTGGTGCAGGCAGGAGAAGTTTGAGTCGAGTTCCCGGCTCAGAGGCAGGGGGGTAACCAGGGCTGGGGGGAAAAGGCAGCCCTTAGATGCCCCCGGGGATGGATGAGGGGGTACCCCGAAACCTTTGGGAATGCGTCTCTCCGGGTCCTTGCCTTCCACCGTGGAAGAAAAGCGAGTAAAGCCGCGGCCTTTCCTCTTCACAGAGCAGAAAACTGCCACTGAATCCGAAACTACCCGTGACTGGGGACACACACACAAAAAAAATAATCTCTGGCTACGAGTAGCCTCTTTGGAGGAGTTTCCCCTCGCCGTCCCCAGAACCGCATTTCGGGGTGTCGGGGTAGCTGCCCTCCCTGAACAGTCCCGCACCCGGAGGGCAGCAGCAGGACGCTCCCGGGGCTGCCCGRCTCTGGCTGTGTGCGGTCCGCTCCTGTCCAGGAAAATGTCAMGGGAATATAATTAAAGCAGGCGGCATATATCATTCAAGTGTTGATCACCAAAGTAACTGCGTACAAATGACACCTCCTTTCCCGGCATAGCTGAGCCATGCATGGCTCCCAGCTATGCCTGCCTAGTTTAAGTGGTCTAAACACGTTACCACTCCCTCTTAGCGGCGTGGAGAGGAGCAAAACTCCGTGCCCTCGAGCTGACAGCTAGTCCTGGCACAGCGTCTCTCAAAGGCCGGGAAGGCGAGCCAGGAATCTAAGAAATAACTTATTTTTGTCTTCAAGCACCCTTTCCCGCCCCATGTTTGGGGCTGCGAGTGCCGAGGGGCGGAGAGACCCCGGTGGGACCCGCGGTGAAGCACGGAGGAGAGAGAGCCACGGTGGGGTCCCTGGTCCTTGTCCCGGTCGTCTCTTGCAAAAGGGCTGGTAAAAGGCGCCCACAGGCATCCCCTGATCCCGCTGCCGCCGGGCACTACTCGGCGTTGCTCCCTTTGGAAAACAACTGCCCCGAGCTGGGCGCCCGGCGGCTSCCAGCTGTGATGGGGAGGGGGCGCAGGGGTACGGGAGAGCTCTGCRGWGTTGGGGAGAAGCTCCCCAGCAGARCCCGTTTCTGGAGATCGTTGTACAGCTATCGGCCGATCCTTCCTTCCCTCGCAACCACTTTCCTGCAGGGGAAAAAACTTCGCTGCACCAAAAATAAATGTGACCCGAGTGCCCGCATCCTGCCTGGGAGCCGGGGTCAGGGACAGCACTCCCGGCCCGGCCCGGCTGGGGTACACCGACCCCACTAAGCCCCGAACCTTCCCGGGCAGAAAAAKACGGAGAAGTCACCGTTCCCTCGGAGAGCTTCACCGCGGGGACGGGACCTGAACGCGGCCGACCACGGACGAAACCCGCGGGCCCAGAAACCCGCCCCAGAAGCGGGGTGAGAGGAGCAGCACCCCTCGGGCGGACGGGCAGCTCGGTGTCCAGCTCCCTGACYTCCCCCAGGGATTTTCGTTTGCAAACCAACTCCCGGGGAGACAGCGGCGCCGAGACCGGCGGAGCTGCAGGGTCCGTGCACTTTCTCCCCACGCCCAGGGCCGATTTGCTTCCCGCTTCCAAAGCCTTCGCAAAGTGGAGCTGGCACGGCGGTGCTCGCACCGCTCACACYGCCCCGCTGTGGGGCCGAGAGAGGGAAGGG